GGCGCACGTCGGACGTACCTACACGCGTGTCTGAACAGGTGTGTGTCACGCTGGAACAAAGCGGTTGGTTTGCTCGGTGCCTCAAATGACGACCTTGGAACTGAACCGCTTGTATCGATCGATTGACCCGCCTATCAGGACTTTCAAATCCGGTAGCGCCACAGGATACTAGAACCTGGTGATAACACACTTGCCTCTCATATAGATATCCGACGTTCAAACCCCGGCACAGTCTGAGATATGCATTGTTGGTTATCCCTAATAAAAGCTGAACTGGATTCCAGTAGGTTCCCCATTTTTGCGAAGAATTAATTGTTCCTGGAGAGAAGAAAGTTTACTCAAACAAACGTTATATCAGTCCAAATTCTGCGAATCACCCGACCATCTACAAATAAACTGTCTGACGTGGTGAGTCATCCAGAAAGTACTTTTCATTCCCTTTCTATCCATGGATGGCATGAGTACACTTCATTTGTTCCAAACTATGTTTTAACACGTCGAACAAATCCTCACACTGAAAAACAGCGTGAAATTATTTGGAGAGAACTGAGAATTTTGATGATCAGCAATCAAGAAAGGGGTTTATGCACCAATGTTAACGAATTCGCACCAATAATATTGATTGGATGCGAACAGGCTCACCGGAACACTTCTATATTCCACACCGAATACTTGCCAATTACGCGAGATTTTCCAGTCGTTAGGTCACTTATATTGATTTAAGTGCACGGCAAGGTTAAGCTGTTTCGAGCGTGAGCTCGAACGCGGTGGAGAGATATCGGATTCGTGATGAGATTGGTATACTGCGGTGCACTGCAGTCTTACTTAGAACAGGCAGGCACGTCACTTTCACCAGAGAAAAGCAGACAGAAACTCCACTTGAGTCCACCACCGCGTGAATTCGGCCGGCCAGAGTGTGTGACATCGACCTTGCTAGTCGACCAATCAGAGCAGTACTTTTCGACAAGACGAATCAACACTTGTGCCAGTGGCTCCTGATTGCTTAGACAGCCTTGACACAAATCTACAGTGTTTCTCGCGCTTCAGCGACAAACAAAGCAGTGCCCATTCTACTGAACGGACTATACACAGAAACTCCTGGGATATCGTGAAGAAGATGGCTAAAGTTCTCCGCGGAATTCCACTAACCATATTATCCATTTCGTTGGCTTTGATAATCATCGCATTAGCAACAAGTGCATGGGTATGTGGGAACCTATTTACCAGTTGCCAGGACACACGCTATAGGTCCGTAGCCTCAGCAGTGGCTTCTGTTCTTCTCCTGGGAACTCTGTGTCTCCTGCTTCTGATAGTTATGGAATCGGTCTCACTGTGTCGGTCGACAATTTTGCTCAACCGAGGATTTCAGATATCCTATTGTGTACTTTTGGCAATCGGCCTTTTATCCCTTCTCACTGGAGTGCTCGTCTACACCGGAGAGGTAGGACGTCAGTGGTCCTATTTGATGACGGTGTGTGCCAGTGTGTTAGCCATTCAGGTGGCGGTCATGGTTGGCGTTGGCGCTATTTGCGAAAAACAGTGAGTAATCCGCTAGTCTGTCATTATTACTATTATTATTACTGTTGTTGATTATTATTTTTTTGAAGGAACTTTAAGCAGTTCGGTAGAATCATTGTTGTACAGTTTGGCACAGAAAACATATACCTAGTATTTGTGTTATCGTAATTCGATTCGGCTTGTGGACAGTAATTAGGTTTATATTTCTTCTGAACCAGTGTTTCAGCTGCCACTGGTCGCATATATTGCGAAAGCAACCCACCAGGGGCACTTCTGTCACCTGAAGGTGACGGTGTTGTTGTTGTATTGGCGACCTGAAAATTCTGTGCATTTGTTAGTCAAAACGAACAACCGAGGGCATACTCACTTATATTCTGAACTGCAGAGCAGAGCGGACAAGAAATAAATACTCCAAAAAGCCTATCTAAACTTGAACGTATGTAGCTAAATCACAGAAAGCACACACCTCCCCCCCGGGGATTTCACCCTTATTAGAGCTCATCTAGTTGAATGAACCAGTCTTCCTACGATGCTAACCGTGCATTTTCTGAGCAGTTACTATGTTTTGAGATCAGAGGTTGCAATTTCCCATCTTCCTAGGACTGCCGGCAATCAACTGTCCGAGAGTGACGACCCCATTGTCACGTGCCTGGATTTTTCTACGGTTACCTAATGTGTCCCATTGATAACAAATGTTCTCGTGCGGTTGAACGTCTTAAACTGAGACCACATCTTTCCCGTTGATAACTGGTCACATTCTAAGCCACTGACTTGGTACAAATCAGGGTCCCTATGAGGACTGAGTAGTTGTCAATGATCAGATTTTTCCGACAGTACCAAAAGCTAATAAGACCAAGGATATCACACTCTGAACCTCAGATATGATGCACACAGAATCTGGTGTGCAAGCTGGAAAAGGGGAGATGATATCTGAAGAATGAACAGACGCCAAGAGCAGCGATCTTTAGCTGATGGCAGATTGCCTACAAAAGACATTGTTGGGGTCATCATTTGACGTTTTTGGCTGAACAGCTCTTGACATAATTGTTGGAGGTGGCAGATTTGTTGTAAAGCACTCGGATGTAGGTCGGCAGTTTTATTTTGCTTCTATCAAACCGTCTTCAGGAATTGTGGAACCCCAGACTCCAATGAAATATCAGGTGTGCTGCATGCTCAGCTATTTCGGTTGCACAACATTCTATTTTCATTCAAATGACGGAGAGAATTCTGGCTGTTGGGCTTAAAGGTGGAGACTTCGAGTCAACTTTGGTAGGCATAGTAACGCCCAACAGTCTCGCCCACCCAAATTCGCACTCTCAAAACCTATTCTAGTGGTGACGAAAGTTTTGCCAGGTAAAAACTCAGCAAACAGATCAATGGTCATCTCGTCAGCAGCTAGCCTCTCCGTTTCGTAAGTGATATTCCAGCCGCCGGTGCAACCAAGGATGTGACATGCTGGCGAGTTTCAATATGAGTTCAATTAGAATCAGGCGACCCACCACCTCTTTGTGTGGATTACAGGGAATAATGATGCCAGGGGAGAAGAAGAACGAAAAATGGACGTCGAGAAATACACTCATTCGCAAATCACTTTGATTTTCACGAGAGACTCAACTGAATCTCTCGTTTATGATGTTCTACAACTGAATGTGCTGCACACAGGCCGCCTCATATTTCAGTTGGTACGATATTCGAGATATCGCAGTATATTTTCACGAAGGAAACTGCTCACAACGTTGTCGAAGAGTTTTCAGCAACATTGTGAGTAGTTTCCTTCATGAAAAATGAACGTATTCATCAGAATTTCCTGTGTTGCATGGGAGACTACAGATGCAGTCAGTCGGTTAGGATTGTCCTTCGAATTCTTCCCAGTACTTTGTTGACGTTCACCCAAGCAGGACCAGTATGATTGACATTCGTACTAGACCCGGACTATGGGTCGTATAAACTGTTTGCAATACGTTTCATGACCGCTAGCACTTTCACTAGCGGGAAGTTGTTGAGCAAGCAGAACGCTCGTTTTCTCCGAGCGTTCGTCCATCAGGTGCCTGATCATTAATAATACACGGTTTACCTGGCGAACCTAGATCTACAGAAAGTGGTCGCTCAGTTTATCAATGATGATTACCAAATCTGGCGTCCTGTTCACTAGAAAGCGAAATTGTTTTACGGTATTGAGTGGTAAAGTCCTATCATCTAATAGGACAGGACCTATTGCGAAGGTTTATCACGGTTACAGTTTTGGGGTTTTGCGGTATAGGTATTTTGTCCATAGCCATACCACTCTCGTTTGAACGATCGCCCTCCTTTTCTGGCGCAGTTATTCTGGTGAGTCCACACCAAAGGGGGCATCGGACTCGATATTCGCTCTTGTTAGAGCTCATCAGCATAGCATATCCAATGACTGTGCCGCGATTTGAACCCCGGACATCTAGCATGCGAGGCGAGTGCCTAACCACCACTCCACCGATGCATGTCGGACGTATCTGAATTTTCAGGTCTGAACAGTCGAACGTGTTCACACTTGAGCAATGTGATTCGTGTACCCGAATCATCGAAGGACGATCCGGTAACTGTCCTGGTTGTGACGATCGACTCGCCCGCCAGTCAGGACTTCCCAGTCAAATAGCATGGGACACACTTGAAGCCCACGGTCTCCTTAACGGATGTGTAGCCTTCTGAGAGAAACAAAGCTGGAGGTGATCCAGTAAGCGTGTCCCAAAGTCACCATTACTTGTCACTGTGACCTGGTTGAATGTATTTCCTGACGTGTAACATTCCTCACAATGGAGGTCGACTTTTTAAACACTGGTCAAAACTCCATTAAAAAATGTTTTCTTCTGTAATGGGAGGATGAAACCATCAGCAAATACAATCAAGATCCTCTGTTTTCTCCATCACGCTTACTAGCATTCAATCGTACGAAACTAAGTTGCTGGGAGAGGTAAATTGAAGTAAATAAACTCGTGTTGAGGCAACTGCCTAAATCGTCCTACGTTTGAGAATTCCGTAGCCAAAAGGTTTTAGAACGAAATACATAAGTAGACAGATTTTTTAGTATGTACAGGTATGCATGGGGCGTTTTAGCCGCCAGTATCATCCCCTTCGATCCGAAAAAAGATGTTTTTTAGAATTCTTCGAAATTCTGTTGTTTTTATCTTCCATTAGTCGTAGAAGCCGGTAGTTAAGTTTATTTGTGAAATGCGGTCGGACCAATTTGCCTGTTACACATAATACCTTGAACTGTAGAATGAATTTCAGAAAAACACTCTCCAACTTTTTTCACAGCTCGTTCGATTCGGTACGTGCGCCAATTGATTAATAGTTTCGACAGCATAGCAAAACGTTTGACGAGTACTGCTCACTCATGATAAGTTTATTTGTGAAATGCGGTCGAACCGAATTGCCTGATGCACATAATACCTTCAACCGTAGAATAAATTTCAAAAAAACGCCATCCAAATTTTTTTCACAGCACGTTCGATTCCGTACGTGCGGCTATCGATTAACAGTTCCGGTAGCACAGCGAAATGTTTGATGTGCACTGCTCACTCATGATAGGTTTTATCCGGTCCCCAGCTATTCGGAAAAAATAACTTGCAAAAACCCGAATACCGGATACAATTTGGATGAGACAGAAAGATTGTTTCATTGAAACAGATACCCTCGGGATGTCTTGTGCCTTTATGGCAGCTGCTTTTTTCCTTTTTCCCATATTTATTTAGTTCATTCAAATCAATCTTGTAACACTTCACTTGCTACGCCCCGCTTATAGTGTTCCATCCCTTGATATCGGGATTATGGCGAAAAGGCATGATGATTTATCATCAGGTGGATACGCTGATGATCAGCCTCACAACACCAGATCTACTCTGAAGAATCTACTTTCTTTTTCGTGATGGAACTCAAATTAGTCAGTAGTGAAGGTAACATGATCCAATAAAAAACGTTCGGCGGGAGAAAGTAAAGCGGTTTCGGACAACCTGGCGTGATAAAGTATGAGGTGCGACAAAGTTTGGACTCCTAATCACCACGATAACTCCTTTCCATTTTCCATTTCCATTCTGGTAGGATATCTATTTAGACGTATAATACATATATAGATCAGGAGGATGTCCGTAGACTATTTTCTTCAGCATCCCCAGATTAATACGGTGGTTGAAGAAGGATAGACTTGAGCAGAATAAGTTTGAGGCATGTATATACCCAAAGATACACGTATAAAAAAAACTGATTTGGGCTGAGTAAAATGCAATCCCCACATAGGGTGTTGGGAAGTAACTACCCACTACATTCAGTGTTTACTAAAAGCTGGAATTGAAGAAAAAACTTAATCAGTAAAAAAGGATATATAGATGAGGGGTTCTATCGATAAATAGGATAACTGTCACACAGCTATAAGTTTTGTGTTTTTTGGATAACAGTTAGCTTCAAAGAATCTGAATCCCCGAATGACAGCCACATTTCAACACCATGTCGTTAAAACGACTCTTTGGAACGGTTGCTATGTTATAGGAACCAGTGTTGAAAGCACTGGTTTATTAATTTTACCTGTCTCCAAGGGAATTCCCTGTTCTGATTATCATTATTGACCTATGTCAAATATGAGTGCGGCTGAATTCACCTGAATTATTGAACGGATAACGAAGGGAGAAGTATTCGAACGTGACTCACGGTGGCCTTAAATGATACCCAATCCTCATTGAGTCACTTAACTAAAAGTAAAATCGCTGATTTCAGAAAGATCTATTAAACAATCGGTAGAGTTAGTGCTCGACAAATTTCCGATTTTGATACGAGATGGCCCAGTGGTTCGAGCGCGAATTCACTGACCCAAAAGTCCGTGGTTCGAACCCGACTTCTCCTGTCTAGGCTTGGGCAACATGTCAGCGTCCCATCCCTTGTGTTCCCTTCGCGTGGCAGCTAGGTACCGGAAGGGTATTACTACTGAACGACTATCTTATTTTTATTATCGTTAAGCAAAGTAAACACGGAACCAGACTGATCGACTAGTGGAGGACCATTCAGTGGTATCTATATCAACTGAAACATTCGATCAGCACTGAATGCCAATGAATGGTTCGTCTTTTTAGTGTGAACAACTAACACTTAAGACAGATAAGTTAGGAGAAATTATCGTCAGAAGAGAAAAGGTTTGGTCCTTTGTTCTTCCAGTTAAGTATCGATTGGAAAATTTATGGATCCATGTCAATTTAGTAAATGTTACGATCATTAAGTTGATGAGATTCAGTGGGTTTTCGTCGGTCTGGTCATTGCACTTTAGACCTATGCCATCTTACTGATAGTGGCTCACCGCTACTTGGCAGTTTAGTGTTGTGAACCGTAGTCAGTGTCTCAAAACTCCACGCACAAGAACTATTCTACTTTCGGTGCGCTCCCCGCGATAGCCAAGTGTATAACCATTGTTCGATAATCAGCTGCGATTCTTGGTGTATAAGCATTCCACCTATAAAATACTTGATGAAGGAAGTATCTGCAATTCGGAATGCAGATTCATGAGATCCTACATACTGCAGCCTCCAAATGAAACAAATTTCTAGGAGCCTTAGCGTTCGAACTGTGCATTTTGTAGGTTTGTGCAAGCATCCCGATAACCAAGGTCTACCAGTCTGATTACTCAAACTGATCAGCCCAAGACTACCTACTGATATCAGTCTTATTAGTAGTGTCACTTCTGGAGGAAAATTACTGGGATACCTTAAATTTCGACCCAATTAGACGCTGAGAACGCCTTCGTGCTACACACTCGATTGACAAAATGAGCAAGAGACTCATGCAAAACTCGTTCGAATCTAAGTTTCAAAACATACTGAGAGCGCAGATGGGTTTTGAATAACCTGTCACACAATAAATTCACGGTTTTAGAGGGTGGTACGTTTACATAAAGTGCTGATTTAACAAAAAAAACGAAAATGACTGCAGTGAAAGTATGCGATGTTCCGGATGGAGCAATGCCTTGTGAGGATGACGGGAGCACCATTCAGTCATAGTTATTTTAAGTCTTCGAGGTTCCAAGGGCTTGGACATCCAATAACTGGCTTAGAGAAGGAGACATAGGAGACATAGGAGCAGTCAGAACTGTGGGATACTCTGAGCTACTGTCTCAATCGCTGATGAAATATATGCTTCTCGAGACTGGTTTGTTTGCTGTTATAGCAGCCAAGCGAGCTAAACAAACATGGGCTAGCTTCAGCCACCTTAACTCCATCGTCATCATATTTGTAGAGACTTGAAGGTTACACTTTGGTTTAAGGAAAAAATTATTCACATCACCATATAATTCCTGTGAATGTAAGTTAATGTTAGCTCAGTTGGATTAACCCGTATGCTGATTTCTACTCCAAATGGGTCCAATATACTATGATCCGATGTGTGGTCGCACCTATATTTTATGCAGAAACGTACAGTTCAAACACCCGTGCTCTGACATAGCACGTCGATTACCGAAAACGAGGATATGTGTAATGTCTTAGCTGGGTGCAGGCTCACCCACCTCCGAGACAGTTGCACTCCCGTCTGAGTCTCAACCGCCTGGATCGGTTGTCAGTCAGTCAACGAATTGCTGTTGATACTCCGTGAGCGTGTGAAAGACTTGTAAAATCCAAACAACTGACGGGCCCATTCATCTACAGCCTATAGAGAAACCCATGAAGCAACTCTAGAGTGATCAGTAGTTCGACGCAGTAACATTCACTTCCCTTAATCATTGTCGGATGTGACCCGTTTGGTTCAGTGGTGGGGGACTAAAAGTATGGAAGGTCAACTTGAAAGGTATAGTATTGTTTCCATTTACCGTTGGGTGTACATTTGAATCCCGATAACGTCATGAACACCATCCGATGATCCTTGTTAAAAAACTTAAAACCTAGGCCACAGGACAACTTAAGGCGAGCGATTTCCATGCAAAAACTTGCGTTCGCAAGCCGGGTACACCGGGACATGGTCGTTGGTTTGTTCACTGAGCTTGGTAATTTGATTTCATGCAATCAAATAGCTCAGCTCAGCGAACAAACCCATGACCATCTACGCTGATTGAACAGACACTGGGAAATTATTCGACAGTCAAAATAAAATAAATGTGAACCGACTAAATCATCATCCTTATCATTTATTCAGTTCAAGGCAATTCCAATGGGTATATATGCCCGCCGTTTAATGGTCTAATCACAGATCGCAGGTGGGAGTTCTAACTGGTATCGATGACTCGTATGAAGGTGGTTTCAGTCGAAGATAGGAGTGATTCGACATTCGAATTGCACTGCGGTGTCAATGCGATCAGAGTAATTATGTACAGCCAACATGTCTGTAAAGACAGTATCACAAAATCCGGCCCTAAACGCAGCCGACAAAAGCGTCTAAAAAGAAAACGCTTCTCATTTTGTGAGCCGGTCACACATTACTAGTTTGCACTACGATATTTCGAAATCACAGAGCCCCAGATATCTTCTCTTCATTTGATTGGTAGAGTACTGAAGTGAAACGACGCGATGGCCCGATTGAACTAATGAATAGTTCTCCACTCTGTTTGTAACCTGACTTACCGGATAGAACGATTAATCGGTAGGGAGTACCGGCTAGCTTAAACGCATTATCGTTATTCGGTGATTTCTCCATACGCAGGTATGTATTTGGTTGCTTCTGAAAGTTACTTCGTGTTGTGAGTCCTTTGTTTAGGCATACTGTCCTGTTGCAACCTAGTAGAAGCGGGTACTGGATGCACAGCGAATGTTGAATTTTATTTGGATCAAATGGAGGGGCAACACAATATTTATAAATACGGCAACTGAAGGACGCGCTAGGAGGAAGGTCACTCCTCAAAAATGAAAACTCGGAAAAATCTCATCAACATCATTGCACGATCTATTCTGAAGAGAACTGCGCAATCTTCTCATAGGATGATCGTGCGGTAATCCCTCTCCTGACTGGATCTGGTTGGGTATCAATGTTCCAGATGGGCTCTCTGCACTGAAAAACCTCCCACTGGCTCGAGTGTATCCATAAGAAGCTTGAACTAGAAGCATGTGATGGCCTTCTGACATGCACAAATGACCGATAGTGTCCAAACTGTAAAGTTAGTCTCGCCTTCGGTTTATCAATCATGAAGGGTGTGACTGGTATGCACTGGCCCAAGTTCCTCAGTGCCGTACTGGTATATATCTACGCCTAAGGCTTTCCGTCAAGCATCTGGGGTTTTGATCCATACGTGCTCTGTGTGCGACATGCTCTGTTGTTACCCCGATTAGTGTGGTCCGTGAGAAACCCTGAAAGCCATCCGGAAAGTCTCTCCTCAAATGCACTCAGGTGCATAGTAAAAGCTCAGGAAACCCTAGACAAGATGCTTGCTCCCAAATGTTCAACGAACGACGTTGTCCCCTAGAAAAGTTTACTCCAAACTGACAAAAATCTGCGAGAATAAAGCCAGTATTCTGCAGAGTGAGTTCTCACTTGTGTCAAAGTGCTGTTCTTCAGAAATCTGTTCTATTACGCTCAATTTTCTTAGGAAAATCACCTACTCTGGGCGGATGGAGAACTGCTAGAATAGTTCATACGACTAAAGCTCAGCGTTTTATTGGAATTCCGTCCTATTCAATATACCTCGAGTTTATTGAAAGTGCTAGAGTAGTTATCTCTTGGCACCATAAAGTCCTCACTGAACTGGTGGTGCATATCATTTGATGTGCCTATCGCGAATGCAATCGCCTGCTTTCATCAAAGTGCTTCTGGGTCTGGTTTATGGAGTTTGGCAGTTGTCTTGGTTCAATCAGTCGAGAATTCCTACCGCACAAACTTTTTAGGAGATATTTCGAAAGAATTTTCCTGTTACCTTGCACAACGACCGACCGAAAGCTGTGCTCAGACTGGCAGAAATTTCTCAACGACCAGTCAACCAACCAGTGTGGTTTGTCTCATGGGGTTGTTTTCTCATTATTTGTACTCAAATTCCACAAAGACTTTAAAAAGTAACGAAAAGACATGTGGACGATTTTGCAGTTGGCAGAAACATGTTCTACACCGGCGGATGTACACGTATCACCAGACGGTTGAGCATTCAGCTCTAGTATATGCAAATATATGTCTATATATATAAATGTACACAAATACGACAATGACTCCTGTCCATCATCATCGTCGACAGCACGACATCAGTTTTCAACACCGATGCCTCACTGCCGTAACTCCTGTCCTCGACTTGCATGCTACCGAAATTCCGGCAGTGACTGAAGAAAGAGTCACGCGTGTAGCCGACGGCGGTAGAATCTCCTTCATCCCAGAGATGAACCTATGATCGACTGTCCTGGTCATGAAATCCTCGTGGCTGCCATGCCGGAAAGTGTAGCAGTAATGAATGCCGCACACCCGCTTGCCACCGGGAATGAAGGCATGTTCATAGCTCCAAACTAGTGAAAATCTCGTTGCCATCGAAACAGTGTGCTGAAACACATTGTCATCCTCCAAACTAAGACTGATCTCATCAAGAAGACGCGGATGACGATTATCATTCCAATGTTGCGGTGTTTCATTGGTCTGTTCCCTGAGCACGGCGACTTGATTGCAGGCGTTTCATCACCAGTCTTGGCGACCTCATCAGTATGGTGTTGTGTAGTGAGGCAGTGCGCTCGCAGTCCACTGAAGGCGCATGTGGTTGGGGTACCCTGGTAGTACCAATGTTGTTTGCGTCTAGGTGGTGAATAACACTCTGGTCCAATTTAAGCTCTGATCCGTTCAATTGACGTCCACAAACTAAGCTACGATGTGGCATTGCCGGTGAGAGTGTAAGTCACGGGATCCTCAACGTTGAATAGTAAAACAAGATCCTATCAGGATCAGCTTAGAAAGTGTCAACACACGACAAACCGAACGCTGTCTTGTCATTTCATGCTATGTTTATTCATTTGCTTAGTATAATAACATTGCTTATGCTGCTCCCGGCGGACCGGATAGAATGGGGTCTGAAATTGATCTTAGAATTTGTTTCCGATCATCAGATGAGAACTGAGCGCTACCATTCATTCTGGGCTCGAAATATCGTCCTTCCTGAATGTGTTAACTGACCGGCAAAACATACTAAAAGTCATCCAAAACTGAAGTGTCGGTTGTCACTATCGATTGACAAGGGTGGTCGAGCTAACAGTGCAATTAAGAGTGTGTGTACGGAAACAATGGGGAAAATTGCTCTGTCGCCTAGTTGTGGCACTGAAGACTTGTCGACGAGGGAAGGGGGATGCTTCACATGATTGTGATTCAACCCACATTGTGATGAACGACCTAGGCTTATTTCTATGCCTTCATCACAGTTTTCATTCGACTTGTACGATCATGACCACCCGTTCTCCACAATTACCAATTCTCCTTCTTCATTCCAGCTGGTTCTATCTTCGGCGTGAATACAAGATCCTGGTTGACTTATTTTCAGTCTATCTAACAACTTCCTGATAGTGTCTTTCACTTTGTCACACGTGGTTTACCCATGTATATTCAAAGCCCTAGAGTGAAAAAGAATGGGTGGCCTCCATTTCGGATCCCGTTAGATGATCACTCGATAAAAGCAAATCAGCTTCGACTTTCATGTTTTCGAGTCACATGATACATCTTCAATCCGACCTGTATCGACCGGATGGTAAGTTTCGGAGATTGACAACGGTCAGCATGCCGCATCTAACGTTGGCTAACGCATATAAGGAAGTAATGAGAACCCCAAAAAGTAGGAAAATCTGGGCCTCAGATGAACGCTAATCACACGCCCAATTACCGCATCTGAGTACCGTATTTGCCCACATATCAACTTGACACGTAGTGGAATTACGCTGAGACAGGTGGATCGAGTGGCTGATCTTTGTTTTAAATATGATGACATTCTTCGAGCCGCCAGGTGTGAGTATTGGTTGGATGTTCCCGATAAATTAGCCAGTTATCAGAAAGCATATGGTTCTCCATACAGAGATCATCAGTGCAATGAACTCTCAGATCCTAAGAAATGTGAAACAGTTCACCGAAAAGCGTATCAGCGTTCTTCAATTTGTGCCACCTCCAACCTCCAGATTATCATCACTGCGTCCTCCAAATGAAACTAACGTGGCGCAGCAACTGAGAATAAAAAAACAAAGAGCTTCAAGTGCCGGAGGATATACCCGACCAGGTGGACTGTTCTATACCGGGACGTATGTGAACACCGCGAATCAACGGACAGTGGTTCGCTAAATTCCACGGCCAAAATACCATCCATCCTGGGGGTAACAAACCCTATTCTGGTAGTATATACTACGTCCCTTGGTGTGGTGTGCACTTTGGTTCCAATTTTTTGTGCTACCTGACATTACATCCAAAGCTCTCACTAGGCATATGACTTTTGGCCTTGGCTTTCAAGGGAGAAACATCTCCGCATCAGAGAACACTGCTTGTACAGAAAGAAGTGAGATCGTCATCATCATCGACAGCATGACATTAGTGTTCAATACTGATGCTTCACTGCCATACAACCATGACGTATTTGAAAGGCTTACTGTAAAGAAGAGTACAAATGGACGGAGGAGGGACTTAGTGCTGGCTTAACACAATCATTCCGAGGTACCTATACCCCCAGATAGTCACTCAGGCAATCTGGATAGAAACTGACAACAAGAACACCACTCACATCGGTTGGCAGCCATATCTTGTAGTGTCTCCAACCAGGCACAGTGAGGATCACGCGGTCCCCATCCTGGAAGGCGAGTAGCACCGACAGCACCCAAGTGTTTCGTGGTCTCCTTTGTATTCCTCTGCCAAGTCAAAGGTTGGCCACCTCTCTGTTTACGCCACTACGAATTGGGCATGGAAAACAACACTCTCTTTGGCAAACGATGGTTCGGCATAGGCAGCACATGTCCCAACCAACGCAGCTTCTGGTGCTGGACACATTCTTCTATGGAAGTACCCGTTGTACAACCGAAAACGCGCTTTCTAACTACCTCGTTGGGGATTCGCTGACACCAACCCACACGAGCTACGGTTCTGAGACAACGATTGTCGAACACCTGAAGACGTCTCAGGTCCGCTGCTCGAATAGGCCAAGTCTCACAGCCATACAACAAAACAGCCCGTACTGTAGCTTGATACACACGTCCCTTCAGATTCAGGGATAAACCATTCTGACGCCATAGGTGTCTCAAGTTAGCAAACGCGGCCCGAGCCTTGCAGATTCGTGCATTCACCTCATCTGTCACACTACAATCAGAACTAATACATCTTCCAAAATAAACAAAACGGTCCACAAATTCCAGTACCTCTCCCTGGATTGTAATTGGCGTGTTGAGTGACTGCACGTCCATGATCATGACCTTACACTTTGTAAGTGCGAAATGCATAGTGAGAGTGCGAATTGAGATCAACTAAAATTGGCGTCAACGATGAGGTTGTTTATCACAGTCTAGTTGGTATCTCCTGAGGAACGTTGATAGCTGAACCCATAGAAACTACCTTAATCAATGACATAAATACATAGAATAAAACAGCACTGAAGGGATATTCGTAATACATTACTCATAAAGTTGCCGAAAACTCTTCGACAGCCCACGACCAGTTTCGCCACTCTTGGGGCTCATCAGGTAGGCGCAGTCCCCGAGTTTCCGTTCTACTTGAACTCATATTGGATTTATTTCGACAAATACACTCATTTGCAAATCACTTTGTTTTTCACGGAAGACCCAATTGAATCACTCGTTTACGGTGTTCTTCAACTGAATGTGCTGCATCGGGCCGCCTCATGTTTCAGTTAGTACAATATTCGAGATATCACGACGCATGTGTGGACGTAATACACTGTTCACAAGGTTGCTGGAAGGACTTCACACAGGATGGTATAACACCTGAAACAAGCCACCCAAATTCGGCATGATGCCCACATCTATGATATCGGATAGTGTATAGGATCATAACAGAATGAGAAAGAACAAAGATGAAAGACTCATCTAATTCATTACACTATGTACACAAACAACATGATCGATTGCTTCGCGAGGAACAATGTTCAAGCAAATGGGCATCCCGGCGCTGAAACGTCTCCTGTGGAGAAAGACAAATGGAGAGATGACAGCATTCGTGTGAATGAGTAGACTTGTCGTTATAAACTGGAAAAGACGCAAATTATCCCCAAGACTATCTGGATGCCATCTTCTAAGAGAGGCACTTATGACAAGATCCATAGGAGGAATCATACGCCGGGTGGCGGCTGACATTTGCCGCGGATTCTCGAGGGGACCTGTTTTTATTCATATCAGTTTGTCTTCGGGGAGACGACCGGGCTATATGCCACTTGTTTTGATCCACCCGAGCGATCTAATTCGAACCTCTTGCTCTCAGAAACACCCTCACTTCCGAATACAAAACTCCCCATGGGAGGCTAACCCTTTAAAATAAAACGGAACACAGCATTCCGCCCTGTCTAAGCTAGGACAACCTGGTAGTATCTCAGCCCTCATGTTTCTTTCAAGTGGCGTGGTAGCTATGCACCAAAAGGACGTTACAGCTAAACGATTAGTTAATACCGATAAGTATACTTTCGCTACAGGACATTCGTCGTAGACCTTCCGTCACCATACATCAACCTCTTGATGCTGGAACTCTCAAGGGTGCTTCAAAGAACACAAAACTACCCTACGACTTCCAACCTTAGGACTCCAAAACTCTCGAAACTCCCAGCTCTTCAGACACCAAATTGACGTGAAGCTGTCCAACCCAACACTCAATCTCTGTAACCGTTTTCCACGTTTCTAGGCAGGTTTCCCCTAATCCATAAGTCCGAATGCAACTCCGGGAATGCAAAGACCGCAAAAATATCGGTGAACTACTTACTACTGAAAAGAGATAAGTAGTCGTCAGTTGCGCTTCTTTTTCTTCCCATGGCTACCCGCCTTAGCGGCCGTGCCAAGTTTGGCTTCTTGTGCAGCCTCGTACTCCTGGATAAGGGTCTCCGAGGTATCTGGTCGAGCAGGGCAATATTTCAGGTATTCCATACTGAATTCGCCCTTACCCTCAGTGAGGCTGCGAAGCTCACCCGCATAGCCAAACATGTCGTTCAGTGGGACCTAATAGAAAGGAAGGGAACAGAGGAAAATTTAAGGAACAATAAGACGAAGGCTACACAAACAGAATGAGTAACCGGGAAAAATAGTCCCATTCAGTGAAAATTCCGATGCTAAGATGGATAAAACAGTTCACGAAATCGTTCTATAACCGGAACTTTCTAATCCACATTACGGCCAAGAAGTGCTAACAGCACCTCCGTCTAAACCCAATTAAACTCGGGAAAAATATCGACCTACATCGATAGTTGGAACAATTGGGAAAACACTGCATTCCACTGGGTGTTGCATGCAAAAACACGAGAACTGGTTCTCAATGTGACAAGATATTTACCCTGATTGGGACAGTGAAAGGTGTTCAACTAACCTGAAAGACATTAGTTGGCTTTCAAGGTTGCTTTAAACATGATAGCGCTGCATGAAGTGTGCCCCCACACCGAAAAGCTATTCGACCTATCAGCTTGGAAACCGAATCATCTAGCGGTCCGTACTAAACAGCCGAGCCCACTTAAAGGCTACCGAATAATCCTTTCTAACAGATCAGGGGTCCGTTTTTAGCAACAATTTGTACGTCATGAAGAACTAGAGAAAACCAGTTGGACGAATAAATGGTATATGGAGAACGGAAAATCGACATCTGAAAGCTCCATGCATCTGATAATATCCTCATCGGTGTCAAGCCTATGACTAAGCAGTTTCCAATGGACAAGTTACTGTGATAGACCAGTAGCAACCTGAGGTCCCCCATTGATGCAATAATGACCTTATGAGAGCAAACAAAGCTCCCACGAACGAAGGCCATGAGTTCAAAGAGGATGGTTCAATTGTCCTAATTGGAAGGGGCAGGTTTTCTTGAAAGGAGACTAACTGGACTTATCTTATGAGCAAACTCGCATGCATGTGCCATATGTTAGATCCAATGACACATCAGAAAGGTCACATTCCCGAAAGCAATCACTGAATGCCCGAAATCTATCGAGACCCTCAGCTCCGCTAGATGTTGACCAGACAGATAACATCCCCTCAACATGCAGCGCGTCACAGCCTTGTGTCAAACTGTTGTAACTGTATTTTCCTCAGCTTAGTTCTCGGTCTGAGCCTCCCAAGCTAGCATTCACGTCAAAACAAACACCAAAGGTGCAAAAGGTCTATTAACGCCCAAAACGAAATCAGGAACAGTTGTACAGCGCTTCGTATATATAGCGTAAGCGGCTATAACTTTCTGGAATTTCTGACGCGTTCTGGAGCTCCATTGGCAACCGGCATTCGGCCAATACTGGGTCATGATTGGCTGTTGGGTCCAGATTGTTGACCAATCAGATCTCGTCTTGATGCC